ATTTTAGTATTTTTATAGAGTTGAGATCATGAGTCAATTGAAGCTAGACTACCATGGAAAACCTGGAAGCACTGGACGGCCGTTTCGTCCTATTATGGGACTCCTCAGCAGTGCGCGTCCACGAACCCACTCTCGCGGGATTCGAACCCAGGACCTACCAGTTTCGAGCCGAAGCCCTTAACCGATAGACCACTGAGCTGGCATCCAACGGTGTTAATTTCTAACTTCAACTGATTCACGAAATTGAGCAACCATTCACCAATGTCATCAGTGAGTTCCTATCTCACAACAGACCTGGTTGAACTCCACCGGTTACTGCTTCTCACTAGAACTCCAGGAAATACCTCAAGGAGTCAGTCACTAGTGAGCACCTGATTATTATCAGAAGGGGTTTTGTGGAGATTTTAGTATTTTTATAGAGTTGAGATCATGAGTCAATTGAAGCTAGACTACCATGGAAAACCTGGAAGCACTGGACGGCCGTTTCGTCCTATTATGGGACTCCTCAGCAGTGCGCGTCCACGAACCCACTCTCGCGGGATTCGAACCCAGGACCTACCAGTTTCGAGCCGAAGCCCTTAACCGATAGACCACTGAGCTGGCATCCAACGGTGTTAATTTCTAACTTCAACTGATTCACGAAATTGAGCAACCATTCACCAATGTCATCAGTGAGTTCCTATCTCACAACAGACCTGGTTGAATGGTTGCTCAATTTCGTGAATCAGTTGAAGTTAGAAATTAACACCGTTGGATGCCAGCTCAGTGGTCTATCGGTTAAGGGCTTCGGCTCGAAACTGGTAGGTCCTGGGTTCGAATCCCGCGAGAGTGGGTTCGTGGACGCGCACTGCTGAGGAGTCCCATAATAGGACGAAACGGCCGTCCAGTGCTTCCAGGTTTTCCATGGTAGTCTAGCTTCAATTGACTCATGATCTCAACTCTATAAAAATACTAAAATCTCCACAAAACCCCTTCTGATAATAATCAGGTGCTCACTAGTGACTGACTCCTTGAGGTATTTCCTGGAGTTCTAGTGAGAAGCAGTAACCGGTGGAGTTCAACCAGGTCTGTTGTGAGATAGGAACTCACTGATGACATTGGTGAATGGTTGCTCAATTTCGTGAATCAGTTGAAGTTAGAAATTAACACCGTTGGATGCCAGCTCAGTGGTCTATCGGTTAAGGGCTTCGGCTCGAAACTGGTAGGTCCTGGGTTCGAATCCCGCGAGAGTGGGTTCGTGGACGCGCACTGCTGAGGAGTCCCATAATAGGACGAAACGGCCGTCCAGTGCTTCCAGGTTTTCCATGGTAGTCTAGCTTCAAATGACTCATGATCTCAACTCTATAAAAATACTAAAATCTCCACAAAACCCCTTCTGATAATAATCAGGTGCTCACTAGTGACTGACTCCTTGAGGTATTTCCTGGAGTTCTAGTGAGAAGCAGTAACCGGTGGAGTTCAACCAGGTCTGTTGTGAGATAGGAACTCACTGATGACATTGGTGAATGGTTGCTCAATTTCGTGAATCAGTTGAAGTTAGAAATTAACACCGTTGGATGCCAGCTCAGTGGTCTATCGGTTAAGGGCTTCGGCTCGAAACTGGTAGGTCCTGGGTTCGAATCCCGCGAGAGTGGGTTCGTGGACGCGCACTGCTGAGGAGTCCCATAATAGGACGAAACGGCCGTCCAGTGCTTCCAGGTTTTCCATGGTAGTCTAGCTTCAATTGACTCATGATCTCAACTCTATAAAAATACTAAAATCTCCACAAAACCCCTTCTGATAATAATCAGGTGCTCACTAGTGACTGACTCCTTGAGGTATTTCCTGGAGTTCTAGTGAGAAGCAGTAACCGGTGGAGTTCAACCAGGTCTGTTGTGAGATAGGAACTCACTGATGACATTGGTGAATGGTTGCTCAATTTCGTGAATCAGTTGAAGTTAGAAATTAACACCGTTGGATGCCAGCTCAGTGGTCTATCGGTTAAGGGCTTCGGCTCGAAACTGGTAGGTCCTGGGTTCGGATCCCGCGAGAGTGGGTTCGTGGACGCGCACTGCTGAGGAGTCCCATAATAGGACGAAACGGCCGTCCAGTGCTTCCAGGTTTTCCATGGTAGTCTAGCTTCAATTGACTCATGATCTCAACTCTATAAAAATACTAAAATCTCCACAAAACCCCTTCTGATAATAATCAGGTGCTCACTAGTGACTGACTCCTTGAGGTATTTCCTGGAGTTCTAGTGAGAAGCAGTAACCGGTGGAGTTCAACCAGGTCTGTTGTGAGATAGGAACTCACTGATGACATTGGTGAATGGTTGCTCAATTTCGTGAATCAGTTGAAGTTAGAAATTAACACCGTTGGATGCCAGCTCAGTGGTCTATCGGTTAAGGGCTTCGGCTCGAAACTGGTAGGTCCTGGGTTCGAATCCCGCGAGAGTGGGTTCGTGGACGCGCACTGCTGAGGAGTCCCATAATAGGACGAAACGGCCGTCCAGTGCTTCCAGGTTTTCCATGGTAGTCTAGCTTCAATTGACTCATGATCTCAACTCTATAAAAATACTAAAATCTCCACAAAACCCCTTCTGATAATAATCAGGTGCTCACTAGTGACTGACTCCTTGAGGTATTTCCTGGAGTTCTAGTGAGAAGCAGTAACCGGTGGAGTTCAACCAGGTCTGTTGTGAGATAGGAACTCACTGATGACATTGGTGAATGGTTGCTCAATTTCGTGAATCAGTTGAAGTTAGAAATTAACACCGTTGGATGCCAGCTCAGTGGTCTATCGGTTAAGGGCTTCGGCTCGAAACTGGTAGGTCCTGGGTTCGAATCCCGCGAGAGTGGGTTCGTGGACGCGCACTGCTGAGGAGTCCCATAATAGGACGAAACGGCCGTCCAGTGCTTCCAGGTTTTCCATGGTAGTCTAGCTTCAATTGACTCATGATCTCAACTCTATAAAAATACTAAAATCTCCACAAAACCCCTTCTGATAATAATCAGGTGCTCACTAGTGACTGACTCCTTGAGGTATTTCCTGGAGTTCTAGTGAGAAGCAGTAACCGGTGGAGTTCAACCAGGTCTGTTGTGAGATAGGAACTCACTGATGACATTGGTGAATGGTTGCTCAATTTCGTGAATCAGTTGAAGTTAGAAATTAACACCGTTGGATGCCAGCTCAGTGGTCTATCGGTTAAGGGCTTCGGCTCGAAACTGGTAGGTCCTGGGTTCGAATCCCGCGAGAGTGGGTTCGTGGACGCGCACTGCTGAGGAGTCCCATAATAGGACGAAACGGCCGTCCAGTGCTTCCAGGTTTTCCATGGTAGTCTAGCTTCAATTGACTCATGATCTCAACTCTATAAAAATACTAAAATCTCCACAAAACCCCTTCTGATAATAATCAGGTGCTCACTAGTGACTGACTCCTTGAGGTATTTCCTGGAGTTCTAGTGAGAAGCAGTAACCGGTGGAGTTCAACCAGGTCTGTTGTGAGATAGGAACTCACTGATGACATTGGTGAATGGTTGCTCAATTTCGTGAATCAGTTGAAGTTAGAAATTAACACCGTTGGATGCCAGCTCAGTGGTCTATCGGTTAAGGGCTTCGGCTCGAAACTGGTAGGTCCTGGGTTCGAATCCCGCGAGAGTGGGTTCGTGGACGCGCACTGCTGAGGAGTCCCATAATAGGACGAAACGGCCGTCCAGTGCTTCCAGGTTTTCCATGGTAGTCTAGCTTCAATTGACTCATGATCTCAACTCTATAAAAATACTAAAATCTCCACAAAACCCCTTCTGATAATAATCAGGTGCTCACTAGTGACTGACTCCTTGAGGTATTTCCTGGAGTTCTAGTGAGAAGCAGTAACCGGTGGAGTTCAACCAGGTCTGTTGTGAGATAGGAACTCACTGATGACATTGGTGAATGGTTGCTCAATTTCGTGAATCAGTTGAAGTTAGAAATTAACACCGTTGGATGCCAGCTCAGTGGTCTATCGGTTAAGGGCTTCGGCTCGAAACTGGTAGGTCCTGGGTTCGAATCCCGCGAGAGTGGGTTCGTGGACGCGCACTGCTGAGGAGTCCCATAATAGGACGAAACGGCCGTCCAGTGCTTCCAGGTTTTCCATGGTAGTCTAGCTTCAATTGACTCATGATCTCAACTCTATAAAAATACTAAAATCTCCACAAAACCCCTTCTGATAATAATCAGGTGCTCACTAGTGACTGACTCCTTGAGGTATTTCCTGGAGTTCTAGTGAGAAGCAGTAACCGGTGGAGTTCAACCAGGTCTGTTGTGAGATAGGAACTCACTGATGACATTGGTGAATGGTTGCTCAATTTCGTGAATCAGTTGAAGTTAGAAATTAACACCGTTGGATGCCAGCTCAGTGGTCTATCGGTTAAGGGCTTCGGCTCGAAACTGGTAGGTCCTGGGTTCGAATCCCGCGAGAGTGGGTTCGTGGACGCGCACTGCTGAGGAGTCCCATAATAGGACGAAACGGCCGTCCAGTGCTTCCAGGTTTTCCATGGTAGTCTAGCTTCAATTGACTCATGATCTCAACTCTATAAAAATACTAAAATCTCCACAAAACCCCTTCTGATAATAATCAGGTGCTCACTAGTGACTGACTCCTTGAGGTATTTCCTGGAGTTCTAGTGAGAAGCAGTAACCGGTGGAGTTCAACCAGGTCTGTTGTGAGATAGGAACTCACTGATGACATTGGTGAATGGTTGCTCAATTTCGTGAATCAGTTGAAGTTAGAAATTAACACCGTTGGATGCCAGCTCAGTGGTCTATCGGTTAAGGGCTTCGGCTCGAAACTGGTAGGTCCTGGGTTCGAATCCCGCGAGAGTGGGTTCGTGGACGCGCACTGCTGAGGAGTCCCATAATAGGACGAAACGGCCGTCCAGTGCTTCCAGGTTTTCCATGGTAGTCTAGCTTCAATTGACTCATGATCTCAACTCTATAAAATCAAATCGTTTAATAAACTTTATATGATTTTCATTTTATTAGATAAATCCAGATCTACCTAAAGGTCAAGGAGAGAAATTTTTGTTACGTCAAGTTGCTTTAATGTTGAATTTGAATTATGCATCTAAACAACCGAAACGTGCAATGCAATTCGGCAGTCGTGTGGCTAAAGCTGAAGGGTCTAAACGTTTGATTGGATCGGCAGACCAAATAAAGTTCTCATATCAGTCTGAATCACAAAAGTAGTTATTACCGTCTAACAAACTTTGTAATATGCAACAAAAGTACAACTATCCTTATTTTATTGCCCTGATACATAAATACATTTTCTTTTTAAATAAAAAAATACAACTGTTGATAAAGTTCGATTATTTTCATATTTCTGAAAATAAAATCAGCAATTATGTGTTGGTAATTTATCTGTTTAAACACATAAACATTGGTACAAGGAAGCATTAAAAATGTATGCACCACACTTCATCATTCGATTTGAGTGAGGACTGGAATACAGACTGGGTTCCCAAACCGAACCATGTGGTTCTATTAGAGGACCAAACCACGAATCATTAACCCACAAATCAGTGGAGCAACGTTAGGAGATTCAGTCCCATGATAGCCGGTGACCAACAATAAGTCCATATGCCGATTGTTCCCTCAGTATTCTAGAGCCGATGTACACCAATAGTTTAGAATCAGAGTTTTGCAACTCCCTTAGATGAGCCTTCCGTGTCCACCAAGCCGGTTAGAGCTCCAGATATTCGTTTTTCGTACTCTGTATTTCGTAAACAACATCCCCACCACGAGAAGGCAGTGAGTAGGGCTTCGCTGTTGGTGGTTGTATACGCGTGGCCATGTGAGAGCATTTGGAGAAAGATAGCGGACTCTGACCATCCTCGATCGTACCAGGGCATGTCGGGGTTCCTTTAATAATGTCGTTATTTTTATGCCAAGTAAAGTATCAAGTAATATTCTGACCATTTCGCTTTCTGGTCACAACAGGATTTTCATTGTAAACTATTATCATGAATTAATGTTGTTTGAGGTAAGTTCAATTTGCTCAAAGATTGTAAAATAGTAATTGACTGTTCTATTTACCTTTTTAATTTTAACGACTGAAATCACAATATTTTCTCTATGCCAATGACATCTGAGTTCAGAATTTTTTCGTTTTCCATTGAATTCTTTATGTTCCACTTCAATCAAACCAGTTGCATCAAATTATTACACATCTTTATTGCTCTACTTTGTTCCTGCTATTCAGTTACTGATTTCGAAGTAATTATTTTTAGACGAAGCTCTAAATTTGTTGATTTTCAAACCATTGTTCTAATAGGTTTTCATTTCATTCTATAAGGAGAAAAATACTTCAGATCTACTGTTACATTGAAGATAGAGCGCAATAGTTTTAAAATCAATTTTATCATCATTCCGTATGCTTCACAGCATCCTTTATTGTGAACTTATGCTTTCACTTGTTCACGAAGGATCTTGGTACCTGTGTGGTTACGAAACCGGATCGTATTGTACTGTCCATATCATGGTATAAAACCCTTAAAGGTATCTGATTCTTCTGAAAATTAATAAAAAGTTACCCTTTCCAGGCAATATTTATTTATAATTGTATGTGACTGTATTTCACCTTCGTTTTCCCACTGTTATCGTAAACTGACTTATGCTAGAGAACTTTATCATCACAAATTAATAGAAGATTGGAAATGCAACTCGATAGTCGATTGATCATTTGGTTATTGTGAAACAAGTTATGAGTGATTATTAACAAAAAAAATACAATTCATAAAACAAAATATCAATTTAATGCTCCCTACTATTGGTGATATCGGTTTATCAAGAATGTAATCTTTACGTCAACCTGTTTCCTACAAACCTCTCTATATATATAGTCGTTAACAATAACAAGTGTTTCGTCCATTTCTATAGTTTTATTTTTGTCGTACAAAGTTATTGACTACTAAAATTTACTATCCTTGTTTAGTTAACAGGAATTCTTTCATAGTTTCAGACAATATTTAGTTATTTTAATGAAATACTTTTGGTACACATAAATTCCTGTTTATCTATATTCGTCTCCTCCACCTTGCTCTTTTCTATTTATTTTCTCCCTCAAAGAAAAGTATGTCGTAAATGTAACTTATAAATAAGTATCATTATTTTCTGATGGTTTGTTTCAAATTTTCATTGAGATTATGGAAAAACAGAAATTAACATACCACTACTCATTGTTCACTAGAGATACAATTAGGATACATTGTATATAAAGTAACAAAATAAACGGTGAATAGGGTATTATCTCTTTTTGATATTCATTAAGTTTTAATGTGCGTGTATAACTATGGATGCTTTATTCTATCAGAGCAAAGATGGTGATGTTCATATTGTTACCTCATTTTATGTACAATAATATTTCATCAGATACAAAATGATTTTAGTTTTCAAGGCTGTAAGTATAACCTGGCCTAATAGGCTATGTTTACCAATTATTATTATTATTATTTTGTTACCATTGTTATGACTTTTGATTCATCAGGAATTTTCTATGCTACAAACATTATTTGCAGGTTTATTACTAGATTGTATTTTGTTTGTATTTTCATGTAAGGACGAAATGTGAATCATTTTATTTTGTTTCTGTTATCTCTATTGTTATTCTGTTTGTTTCACTAGTAATTCTATTGCTACCATTAATATTGTTTACTCTCATAATAATTATTATTGTGTACAGAATTGATTGGTGCTTAATAAGACATGAATTATTGGTTTACGTCACTTTCGTGACCTTCAAGTCAGTTCATACGTACCCTTACTGATGATTGGAATTTAAATTCACTTCAGTTAATTTACATTGTATTATTAATTGTTAACGACAATTACTACTATGTATTTATTATTTATTCTCAATAACAGTTTTTGATCATTTATGTCCCTAACAACGTATGAAGAGTCTATAAAAATGATACCTTATTATAGTATGCTACCACAATTTGTTAGGCGGCATAGTTGTTCTGATTTATTCGGTTTCAAGGAATTTTTTTGTCTTTTGTTTAAATATAATCCCTTGTTTACAAACTAGGAGATATACTTCTATAACAGCCAAGATATGAAATACAACAGAATGTATGAAATAGTTTATGTTAAAGCAAGGTTATTTTCATGATTCCTGTATTCAGTTAAAAAGTCTGCTGTCATCATTAATATATAATTCTTTGAAATAATTACAAGGATCATACTAATTAACCAACAAATATTATGAAGACTAATCCTTAGTTCTTGTCGAATTCAGTCGACTAGGCTGTTCTGTAACCATTAATCTTATTAGACTGTTACTCTTGAATTGGATAACCTCCTTCTGAAGTATCTTATTGTAGTTGCTGGCTGACTCCGTTTCGATTTCCTGAAAAATCAACTGCTTCATATTTACTAATAATTCGTAATGAGGATCTGGTTTTTTACGGATTTCCTCGAATAATTTATTAAAGCGACATTAATAATATCGACGGGTAGAATAGCATCATGCCATTGAATAATCCGATTTGTTTGTATTTTACAAATGACATACCTCGTTACTTCCTCTTAATTCATATTATTGTATTCTATCTTCCTTCCGTTTTGCTATATTTCTTTCTATTCTCTTTTTAGTTTGTTGCTACAATTGTCTTTATTATTATAACTAACAGTGAGAATGTTACTGATAAAAATTTTTATGGCTATTTTTACAACCCATAGGGAATAAATCGATATTTTATTTCTGTATATACCATCAGCTCATAAATTATACTCTGGCTTAGAATAGAGAATGAGACATCATGGATTTTCTTAGGAAATACTCAGTGTTTTTCAAAATCATTAAAAATACAACTGTTGCCTGGTTTCATTATTTATTTGAACACATTAACATTGGTTCAAGGGGGCACCGAATAGATATGCGCCACACAATAATAATGAAGTTGTGAACTGATAGAAAATGTAAAGTGCGTTTGATAAAAAAACAGCGAACAGAAATTAGTGTATTAGATTGAAATAATAATAATGGGAGAAACAGTTGAAACCTGGAAACACTGGACGGCGGTGGTCTCGCTTCAATTGACTCACGCTTTCAACCATGAAAAATACTAAATCTCCACAAAACCCCTTCTGATAATTAATAGGAACATTTAAGTTAGCGAAAATATGATCAGAAAGAATTCTTACAATTAAAGAACTTACTTTCATTTTTATGAAGTTACAGCAGGATCACCAACAGCTTCTATTCTGAACCACATCTCGTAGCGTCTCTAGCCACTGTGTCGCACCATCTCTAGGACCCCAACCAGGGAGTCGTGAAGGACCAACACAATTCAGTCCTGTATAGCTTCCTTTCATATCACGACAGTATGTCATACACTGACCACCTCTCCGCTTTTTGCAATGAGTTCCAGCGTAGGCAAGTAATGCACGACGAGGAATTCTCTGGGACGACATTTGTAGAACATGCCCAAGCCACCAAAGTCAATGTTTCATGTAAGTGACACTGATTGAATTATCGTCGCTGTGCCAGAACACACGATATCGAACCTCTGCATTATTGGCATGGTGTTGCCACTGGATGTCAGCAATCCTTCAAAGACAACGATGATCAAATACAGAGAGTCGTCTAACATCCTCAACTCGGAGAGGCCAAGTTTCACAAGCATAGGGCAAAACTGCTCTGTATTGCCATGCTTCGTTAATCGTTCACCTCGATAACCGATATAATACAAATCTTAACGGTGCATAAAATCAGAAGGCAAAGAGAAGCGGCAGCTACAATTTATTAACAAAAAAACACATTGGAGATGGCGAGTAAGCCAACTCACTTTAATCAAGCGTTAATCAATATTTATAGTCAGACAAGAATAAATGACAGACATGTGATAATTAGGATAAGAAGTGTACACACACCTACGCTCATATAAAAATGGTCAGGGTTAATAAGTGAACAATCAACAAGGTGAAAACATGACTCATGATGGATAGGTGAATTGACTTGTCCAGAAGTTAGAATAAGGCATTTGGGCTTAACATATCAACCGATATTACACATACTCAAGCCAATGGTTTAGACGCAATCGGAAGTAGACTTTTCCCCTGATAGTTATTGAATAGATGACGTGAACTCTTTTTCAAAATAGTGAAAACTATCGACTCGTTCTACAGTGTCAGAACACTCTCTCACTGCCATACCTTTGTGAACAATTCTGTCAGTTCCTTAA